AGGTACATCAACAACATGTAGCCCCAGCACTTACCCTCTGGTGTTTGCCCTCATGTCCAGCAACGAGACCTCCAGGGCCTGCACGGCCAGCTCATCCGGTACCGTCAGGCCCTTGCACAGGTGGCGGTTCAGCTGGCCGGCCAGCTCCGTCTTGGGCTGCTGATTGAGGACAAAACGGATGGCCTCGCCGATGGACAGGCGGACCATGCCATACTCTGTTATGAAACGGTTTGCCACTGAAACGAGACAAAATGGTTGTCATTTGTGACTAAGTAACTCAATGGATGAGGAGCTCTGAACTCTTTTGTACATGAGTGGAAGAAAATGCTCAGAATTTAATTTCTTCAGCCTGTAAAACACCATGCCATTTGACTTATCTATAACATCTAAGTTTCTCCACCCAATTTGTAAGACAAAAGTATTTTATTTCTTTTCAAAAGTAATGCAGACAATGAAGAAATAAAAATATTGTGAAGCTCAGCCTATGGGCAACACACAACTTTTAGGTGGACATTATACGTTATTGTTACTTGTCTTTTTTAAGATTCAAATTTTTTACAACCTCAGAAAGGAGACATATTCACTGAAGTAATGCAGACTTGGGAATTTCTTCGACATATAAGGACAAAAATTAAGAGGCCAAAATATGTTGAGCTGAGGCAGTTGCAGGACTTACAGGTGGTCTTGCCTGACTTGGGCGGCCCCAGGATGGCCATGCGGATGGGGACGACCGGCTTGGGCGAGGGCTGCTTGAGGAACTTTAGCGGGTGCATGGTGAACTCCTCCCGGGCTGGGGGATTGGACAGGAAGTAGATGTGTTGGCGGTAGATGCAGGGGAAGGAGGGGTAGCCTGGCCCTTGCATGGGCTGGATGCAGTCACCTTCATTGAGCTGAGGCAGGAGAGTAACAAAGGCTACGCTGTCAGGATTAACGCTGTATGTAACATCGGAACAATCTATCAATTACTGAATTCTGTCCAATTCCGTCAGACACCTCAATTGGGTACCACCTTCTAAAGTGGCCAGAAAAACTGCAACAACTTTGGAGTACATCTTCAACAAGAAATGTGCAAGCTGTTCTGGTACCACATACCTTAATCGGGCACCATCTGCCAAAGCGGCTCGGGTGCTTGTAGCCGATCTGCAGCATCTTCTTGGCCACATGCTCCTTGATCGGGTAGGCCTTCTCAAACAGGCTCTCCCGGCAGTCCACGATGGGCTTGAGGTTCTGCTCCAGGGTGTAGCGGACGATGTGGGGTTTGCGGCCGCCATTCAACTCAATGCGGGGGACCAGGATCTCCTCCAAGGTTTCCTATAAGGAAACGGAGGAAAATGGCACACAAAACGAAACGATCCATGAAACCAGTTTAGAAAAACATGACAGACATGTAGCCTGGTGGTTTGGGTTTCCAACTCCAGAACAAGAAGTTGGAGGTTCGAATCCAGGAGCTGTTACATATTGTGACCTTGGAGGGGAGTTGCTTTTACTCCAACTTGTCTCTCTTCACTCAAAAAGAAATATGGGTACCCATGAGGGTAGAGAGATGGTTGTTGCATTTGATTGCACCTGAAATAGCAATGCCAAGCTCTATTCACTCTTTGCATGCTGCCGCCATAGGCATGCAGAGCCTCAAACTGGCAGCTTGTACGATCGCGTCAGAACCGCGTCAACGCAGCTTCTGAAATATTGTCCAATCGCATGGCTAGAGCTGACACAGTACGTGCAAAATCATGAAGCAACATACACGCAAATCACTACATTAAGCTGCCAGATCCAGGCTCTCCATGCCTACCGTGGCAGCCTGCAAAGAGCGAGCAGAGAACCGACATGTGACGTCATTTTGAACCAGGAAGTGCAGTGCAAACGAATGGAGTACCCCCGCGTGTTGGTTCAAGCGTTGGTTCTTGTGCTAATACCTTTTACACACATAGCCATGCCCGTGATGTAATCACTTCAGTACTCATCCTCCAAAGGGACCTGAGATGGTTTTCAGGAATGGTCATGTACCCGTTGAGCAGCGGTACTACTGAGGGCTAGCATCTGGAGTCCAAGCAAGGGTGGATACATGTGCTTTATGTATACACACCCATATGCTGTGATCTACATCGATTGGCAAGATGGGCATGGTTCTGACGTGGCTTCTTACTTGTACTGATGCGAGCTTGTTGGTGTCATCGTCGTACATCTCTCCGATCTCATTCTTGAGACGGTCTACGGCATCCTCCTCCAGTTCCTCCTCCTCTTCCTCTTCTTCCTCCTCTTCCTCGAACTCCTCGGCCAGGAGGGCCTCGATGTCTTCCTCTTCCTCGTCGTCTTCCTGCTCCTCTTCCGAGTGCTCTGAGTCATCGCTGTCTCGGTCGGCCGCTCGCTGGGCCTTTGTTTTTGGCAGGAAGAAAGGACAAGGGTTACTGTAACAAGGATGTTATGCCAAGCATACAGCTGTAAGAAACATGCGCCTTGAGTTACAGTAAAACCTAACGACATTCTTCCATTGATCATTTTTAACAAATGTCTGAATCTGGCCTTTCTGCTCGCAATATGCAATGAAATATTGCTAGAGCTGCTTGCATGGTGAATTTTGGTTATCGCTTGCCACAGGATGTGCACATATTTACTTAGGGGTCTTCTATTTTGGAAACAGACACACTGAGTTCTGTTGGAAGAGCTCTTCTACAGTATCCTGGGAGTCGGGAGTTTGAATCCCACCTCAGAAAAACTGTCTATGAAAACTGGTCCAAGCATGTCTTGCAGATTCTTACGTGTAACTCATTTTTATCCAACATCCCTTAGTGGAAAAGCACTCTGACAAACTCAGAGCATAAAGTGATTTCTCCATACTCTAATAAAAACAACTTGTACTTTCAAACCCATTTTGTACGTGAAGCAAACAGAATTTTTTAATAGCGGCAATAATGTGAGTGCATTTTGACCACAGTGCCAAGCTTGCAAGACAGACGTGGAGGCATAGTGCAACGATGCGGCTGGATAATTCACACATTCTCGGGATCAAGATTTGCGGCACAACGTTCTTGTTTTACTGATGGTTCACTGGCCCCGTTTATAGTGTATTTAACGTTCTTTTTATCCTTCACTAAAAACGGACGATGAACTCTTGTGGTGCAAAGTGTTTCTGTGATTACATGCACGAAAACTTGTGTGCCTCGGTGAGCGTGAGTGGGCATTGGTTGTGTGTGTACATACCCTTTGTATGGCCTGGTGAACATTTGAAGATAAAAATAGATTGAGGAAAAGGAACTGATTATTTCATGGTATATGCTCTTTGGTATTATAGGAAGGGTTGGGGAAATAAATTATTATGAAATATGACAGCTGGTGATTCTTATCATTCTGACGATGACAGAAATGATGATGACATTGACATCTGTGACAGAAACGATGACACAGAGAAATAAACTATTATGGAAGATAACAGCTGGTGATTCTTATTATTCTGACAATGACAATAATGATGATGACACTGACATCTGTGACAGAAGCAATGACAAAGATGGTAAACAGATATAGCCATTGAAATGGAGCTTGAAGCTGGAATTACTAGACAATCCGCCAATATTATGCAGGGGTCCTCATCTTTGATACCACACAGAAGTTTTATTTATTTATGGTATTGTTAATCTCAGTTCTGTTGACTCTGTTAAACGTGATTCAGAAACAGCAAAAAAGGCAAATCTTCACTGAGTAAAAATCTTTGAAGCTGCTTGAATTTCAAGAAATTATTTGACAATTTTGACTTTCAAAATACAGCTTTTCCTCCAGGTGGCTTAGCACAGAGAGCTGTGGAGATCCCTGATTGCCCAATTATCTGTCTTTGCATTCTGACGACTTGGTCAGAGGATGAAATGCCGAAAAAATGCTTCAAGGTCAAGGAAAAAACACGCCTGAAAGACAGCTATTTTCCCTAAGCGAAGCTACTCACGATTCTCTCAGCCTTCCTCTCCGCCACCTCGGCAACCAGCTCCTGCCTCCTCTTGTTGATCATGGCCTCCCGCTCTTTCTTCTTGCGCAGCTTGCGCCGCTCCTTCCGCGCCAGTCGCCGGTCCCGCTTCTTCTTCCACTTGTCCAGCTTGGGCGGCAGAAGGCGGCCCTGGATGTCTGCGTCCTCCACCGCGAGGATGACGGCCGCGTCCGGGAAGAGGCCATGCTCTGCCAGGTAGTGGGCCTCCTCAACAGTGCGTGGGAAGCCCTCCAGGACAAATCCGGTGGACCTGTTCGGAAAATGGAGGAGTCCAAAATGAAAAGCAGGAATACAAGACTTGTCAGGCTGTGCAAAGCTAGGAAATGGGCCTTTTGCAAAGATGTCGAGGAAGCCTTCCAGGACAAATCCTGTTGATCATTCGAAAAGTGGAAGACTGACTACCAAGAAATGCAAGCCAGGAATTTCGTCTACTTTCGAAGCACAACAGCATCATTGTAGGAAAATGGAACTAGGAAGACAAAGACAATGAGGCCTGTTGAAAAAACACGACACAACAGCTGCACAAAACCAGCAAGTGGGCTTCTGCCGTGAAGCAGTGGAACTCTCCTGGCTAAAATGCAAGTCAGATTTCAAGTGCTTTTGTCAGGCTTAGCTGCATTTTCCACAAAACTTTCATTTTTCAAACACCTTCCATTTGCTGCAAAAACAAACAGTAAATCCTACCACTTTCTACGGAAAAAAAAAATATCTCCAAGCAAGTTGATGAAGCTCTGCATATTGTTCAAGAATTTCAAATGTCCAAACTAAGTTGTTAGATTCTTGAGTGCAAGTGGGTACATATGAGGAGTTGGGGTCGGTATTGTTATGACAGAGACATATTTCTTGGCCCATTACCGACATCCCCACGCTTTCATTTCTACATGATATATCTACAAGCAAAACTTAGTCCCCGAGTGAATCTGAGTACAGAACCTACTTGAACGGCTCGGAGTTCCACCAGCCGGGGACGATCTTCTCCAAGGTGTCGGGGGTCAAAGATTCTTCCTCCATCAGGTTGCCTTTGATGTTCTCTTCCTCTTCCGTCCACTCAATCTCCGGCTCCTCCTCCGGCTATTGGAAGGATAAGAAGCAAATATCAAAACGATTTCCAGGTGATATAGTCTACTCCATCACAGGCCTGTCACACGCAAATTGCAAGTTAATTCACAAATCCTGTAACCCACAGCAGAAGCCAAACAATGACAAAGGATTGCTTTTATCTCAGTTCATCTAGACAGCTTGTAACTTAACTTGCAATGGATAATGGACTTGTGATGGACACCACAACATTGATTAACTTTACTTTGATCTTTGATACAGATATTTTCCTTTCCCCTAAAAAGTTTTTCGTGGGCAATTTCTCTGAGGGGAAATTTCTCTAAAAAACGACAACCCTTTTTCCTGTTTCCTGTTCCAAGAACCTCCTGCAGATGTCAACTAATTTCAACATGCTTCACCATCACCTGATCACCTTCATAAACAAAGTCCCAGATGCACTGACTGACGAACAGTTTGATCCTGAGAAAATTTTGCCCAGAGGCAAGTGACAAGGGACACTGACACACAGGCAGGGGACAGACATGTGGATAAAAAGGATCAGACGAATGAAAACTATTAGGAACCTAGGATGGGGGGAAGCACAGTGCTAAATGTTGGAATTTTCTAACAAATTCTCGGTCTCACCTCTTCTGTTTCTTCTTTGTTTTCGGCAGAGGCAGCTTCGTCTGCTTCACCTTTTATACCATTTCAAAACAAAACGATGTTATGAATAATAACGCTCGAATAAATCTAACCGAATGCTACAAAGGAGGCAAGGCTTCATTTCCAAGGGGGCCGTATTTGGAGGTGGAAGCTCAAATGTGTGCAGATGATTTCAAGCGTTCATATAATGTTCACATTACATACGCTCACATTATCCTCAGGAGGTACTGTAAATAGACCATCTAAATCTGCGTCGGTGAGCTACCATGGTATGAAGGATTTGTTTCCAACAGACCGATGTTTGAATGAACAGTCATGCAAGGCACATGCATTATACATGCCCACCTGCACATGCACACAATGTGCCAGTGGGGTAGTGTCAGTGTGCATGGCCTCTCTTGCTTATGGTGCCACTGTTCTGATCACAAACCTTATCATTAAACAGCAGTGGGTTGTCTACTCACCTGAGCCTTCCACACCAGCTGGAGCAGTCTGGCTCTCGCCCGCTCCGGTCCCAGCCTCTCCTCCCGATGTTGCCTCCTCCTCCTCCGGCTCGCTGTCCGGCTCCTCTTCCTCCTCCTCGTACTCGGGGCCGATCTTCTTCTTGGTCTTGGCGATGACTAGCTCCTGCAGCCGCTCCTTGAAGCAGATGTGGAAGAGGCCCAGGTTCTCGGCCAGGTAGCGTCCGTGTAGGGTCTTGCCTGCGCCCCGGGGCCCCAGGATGAGGAGACGGACGGGAGGGGGCTGGAATAGAGAGGCAAAATGGGAGGAGACTAAAGACCAAGACCGAGCAAAAACTGTCCACAGGAATGGTGGTCCTTTCACAGGAACAAGTCCTTGCACAAGTCCCTTCACAAGTCCCTTCCCGAGGCCAGTCATAAGTAACAGGGTGAACAATGAAAAAGAATGCTTTTGTTACAGTTCATTTGAATAGCTTGTGAATTGGCTTAAGACTGAACGACTTGAGATGGACTTGTGATGGACTTGCAGGGACTTGAGATGGACTTGTGATGGACTTGCAGGGACTTGTGATGGAGTTGTGATGGACTTGCAGGGACTTGAGATGGACTTGTGATGGACTTGCAGGGACTTGTGATGGAGTTGTGATGGACTTGCAGGGACTTGTAATGGACTTGCAGGGACTTGTGATGGACTTGCAGGGACTTGTGATGGACTTGCAGGGACTTGTGATGGACTTGTGATGGAGTTGAACACAACCCTGCTCAAGTTCACGCGGGAAGTTACTCTGGTAACTTGTAACTAATTGAATAGATTTAGCCAAAAATGACAAGAGGAGGAACACCATTCTCCTTCCAAACTCACCTGGAATGGTTTGCCCTTAGCCACGTACAGCATGGGCTCAGCCAGGAACTTGTCCCGGGATTCGGTGCTGGAAAAGTAGTAGACCTTCTCCCGGTACTTCGCAGCAATCTCGGGGTTACCAGGCCACAGCACATAGCTGTCCTTGTACTGGACGGGGCAGAAGTGCTTGGTGTCGCCAAACTGCTTCTTTTTGTTCTTCATCATCTCTTCGTCCTTTTTTGGGGGGGTCATAAAAAAATTTGTACTGTTTAGGCATAATTTATAAAGAATAATCTTTCAGATTTCAGAGTTGATGCTTTCTGTTTCAATATCTGACAGGTGTCCTCTACAGAGAGTTAGAGATCGATGTGTTTGAAGTTCGATTTTAAAAAAAAAAGAATTCTTTTTCCAAATTATACTGAACCTACATTTCCAAAAAGCCAATTTTAATCAATTACGGTTCACACGGTTGTTAAACATGTCAGTGGAACCGGTCTTGGACAAATTAGATCTTTGTTATCACTGTGTAGAGGGCAGTATTGTTGCCTGCTTCTAAGAACCATGTTTGTACTGGCAGTGATGGCATGCCCCAGCCAAATTTGGCTAAAACAATGCATGGAACATACCCCTAAATTTTCAACGGAATGAGCACAAAACCACCTTATATTGTATATGTGGTTTGCGGCCAATAAGATGTCTTCAGCTCAACCCGAAAGTTATGGCAGCGGCAGGAACTTTCACATGTGACACTGACTTACCTCCTCCTCTTCCATCTCATCTTCCTCCTCTGCCTCTGCATCTTCTTCCTCTTCGTCCAGATCGATGCTGGTATACTCCCATGGGCGGTAGGAGAAAGGCTCTGGAATACAAGGGAGCAAGAAGTGAACCTTCAAACTGAATGATGTACTGCAGGAGTCAATCTTGCTTACTTGATGTTCAAAACTTCACCCGAGGGTCCTTTGCAGAAAATGACACACACTTCACTTGGAGTCAGTGCTAAGTGAGTTTTTGTAACCTACAGCGTGTTCCTTGTGGAGACTAACGGACCCTGTCTACAGTCGACAGAACTTAGCAAAAACTGCTGAATGAGCACAACCAGCATCTTCCCAAGCACCAATTTCACAAAGCAGCTCAGCATAATAATTCACTAATTATTCACAGGTTATCCATTCTTAGCAAAAAATATGGTAAGCAACCAAAGAGGCATCCAGAGTGCAGTAGTTGAGACTGGCTCTCCACTTGTATCTGCTAATTAAAAAATCTGCTTATGCAGTTTTCTCCTTAGCAGGTACAAGAAGTTGGGTCAAACGCTGTCACAAATATGACGACAGTGTTACACCGAGTCTCTAAACAATGTTGGTCTGACCAGCCCCTCCCTGTTACACTTGAGCAAAAGACTGAGGATGAACTCACGTTCTACGGCAGTGAAGGCTTCTTTCGTCAAGTCCTCTACCTGACGATTCTCGATGTCCACCACGATGGGTTCCACGTTCAGCATGCCCGTCACCAAGGCCTGTACTGATGGCCACTCGCGCTCAAATTCGGTGCGCAGTTCCTTGAACTGGGTGGTCTCCAGGCCCTCAGGGGGCAAGGGGTCCTCCACGGGGGGCGGAGTCTCCAGGTGCTCCTCCTCTTCTTCCCCATGCTCTGCGTCCTCCGTGCCTTTGCCTAATGAAGCGATTGGAAAGCATTAAGGTCTCGCATGGGGTCTAAAAAAGCTCGACTGCACATTTGGCTTTGGCTCCAGGCTTCATTTCAATCTGAGTCCTAATGTGAAAATTCTAGTGTCCATGATGAAGCTGAAACTAAAGACTTTGCCACACTTGAAAAATGACCATAATCTGTAGACCTTAAAAAGTGACCAAACATGTGAAAGTGCTCTAATGAATAAAACCATTTCTCAAGAAGCTCCTTATGTTCCGGATAAATTGACATATCCACATGGATATTAAACTCATCAAGTTGAATTTGCAATACAAGAATAAAGCAAATAAAATTTCTCTAAACATCAAAATATAGCTGTCCAATAAGTTGCAACAGTAAAAAGTATAATTTCCCACAGAATTAATATCTGATTCTTAAATCTAACAAATGGTATACACCTCAAAATTTCTTTAAAAGGCAAGATGCATAATTGACAAAGATGACATTCCTAATTAAAAAAAATGCCAAAACAAAATGGCATTATGCGAGTGGAACTCGCAATACAGAAATATTTTTCAGACACAATTCAAGCTGTGATCACCAACACCAGCAGAAATGAATATGGAAATGAGATGAATATGCATATGAAATGACTATTCACGCCATGGACCAATCAAAGTGCTTCATTACCTTCTCCATCCACCCCAGTAATATCACCTGATGAGGTTTGTCCAATCACCACTTTAGGGGGCTCAGCAAACTGATCTGATATGTGTATGATGGCATGAGGGTGGGCAGGCCAACGGAGGTGGGGGTGGTTTGAAGTTTTAGTGGAAAAAGTTAGTTGTAGGGATTTTGCAGCAAAAGTCGGCAAAGATTCAAGGTAGGGTGTTGGGTATGGTAACAATGAGGAAAGCAAAAACAATAAAATGATGTGGATGAAGGGTGATGATGACAGAACCAAACTAATACATTTCACACAAAAAAAGATAGGCGTAAAATCTTACATTTGCATAAATGAGTTTTGCCCTCACTTATTCAAATTAAGTTCAAATGTCTTAATTGTTGCATCTCAGAATTTTTCAGTTCAGAATTTAAGAAATGCCCAGGTTGTAAAATTCAGTCAACAGAAAAGTGTTGGGTATGAAATGCAGTCACTACACCCACTCCATGCATATTTATGAGCAAAATGTAATTGGCCTATGTTTTACTGGGTCTAAAACCAAAAATATCAATCAAGAAAGGTTTCTTGAACAAGATTTTCAGGCCATTACAGACTTCAGATTTGACAATACGGCCGTTTCACAATAGTGCACCACCAGGAGTTTGCAACATGTTGGCCAATCACAATGCGCAAAATTTGTCCACCCAATGCGCATTTGGAAAGGTTGACAAAATTTGCGCGTTATGATTGGCCAACGCATTGCAAACTCTTGGTGGCGCACTATTGTGAATCACCTGTATTTGTGATGAACTTAAACATAGCAAGACTTTTCTAGGGGTTTCACCCTTCACCAATATATACTTATGAATGCATGAGCCCTGAACTTGACCAACAGAGGGTGCAATTTTCCTAGCAATGGAGGCTCCTGTGACGGGAAGTTGGAACTACACTTCCCGGTTCACAGACAAATACGAAATGCACATGTTACAGTCGCGTCACTACCAGCAAAATAAGCTCTCCCGACCATCCTGGTTCTTTTCAACCAATGAGGAGGGTGCCTCTGCTCAAGGCAGATACTCAGTGATGTCTGAGGGCTTGCAAAAAAAGTTTGCAGGCTTTGACACTTGGGTGGGGTTCAAACCCACGACCTCCTGCTTACAAGTCAAGACCTCTGCTTGCCGGTTTGAGTCAAAATGATATATCAGGCTAATTTATTAAAGGCTTCAAATTTCTGTCACAAAGTTTGAATCAAATCACTCAGCATCAATAACTTCCACGTTAAACATCTGCATTATTCCCTCACAAAGGTTTGAGTCAAAATGACATATCAGGCTAATTTATTAAAGGCTTCAAATTTATGTCACAAAGTTTGAATCAAATCCCTCAGCATCTATAACTTCCCCGTTAAACATCTGCATTATTCCCTCACAAAGGACCAAGCCCTAAATGTCACAAAGTGCAATGGAAAGGATGAACAGCTTTTTCACTTCCAGTCGCTATTCAAACACTTTTAAAAATTTAAAAGTAAAGACACAAAAAGGAATGAAAAATATAAAAGTGCTGCCACACAGAGAGAAACACAACTCAATGATTTGAGAGAGCAGGCAACATGCAACTGTCTGGCTTTTGTCACGAATCTTAAAATCCACAGCAAACTAAAGCCATGATTCATGCAGCCGAGCCATGATGCAATTCTACCTGAAGTCTTCGCGTCAACGTCCATGGCAGAGACTGCCGTGCTGGGCTCGGTGATCGTGGGCGTGGCCAGCAAAGCTGATGAGGGCGTAGCATGAGAAGGGGAGCAAAGCATGGAGGCAAGACGATCAGCTTGCAACAATTCTAACTGTCTCTGAGAGCATTTCTGCTTTGCAAACTTTGTTGTAGGAGGAAAGGGCTCAACAGGATGAAGGTAAAAATCTGCATCTTTGTACTTTGGGCAAACGTGAAAACAGCTCGCATTATGGTGCAGTTATAAACCAAAGAAAGCACTGCATTCCTTAAAAAGAAAAGGAGAATTGGCAAGAGTTGTTCACGGAAAGTTGAAGATCACGGTACCTTTCTATACATGAGAGCTGTGGAAACACCTGTTTTGTTTTCATATCAATATACTGCTCCATGCACTCAAAGTACTTCGTGAGCTACATAGTTTATCAAGGTAACAGGTGATGTGGGCGTTGAGGGAACAGCCAGAGAGTATTTGGAGATCTCATGAGACATAAGGATGCTGATGTAATGAATGCTGCTATACCAGACATTCATCAAACATCCACTTTTGCCCAGGAAATTTGTCCATGCCTGTGTCAGGTCATATACCTCGACACACATTCCTTCGTGCCTACTGATGGTTGGATTTGGTTCCTCTTTATAAATCACCTTTGGCTTCATTTTCTTGGGGACTTGCCAAAGGAACTGACCTCAAATCAACACAATTTATCAAAGTCAAACTCAGGACTTGGGTGATCCCCAACAAAAAAAACAGTCTTTAAGTGAAACACTAGCCAGCCACATATACTGAAGTACAAACACTACAGTGCAGTTCTGTGCTTGCTTAAACTTAAACTCCACATTGATAACAAAAGTACAACAAGGTTGTTCCTAACATGTTTTATTTTATCTTGTAACCACCAGTGCAGTGTTTTCATTCACTGTATAAAGCTTCCAAGCCTGTGCACTCTTTAAGAGAAACGTATGTAGATTTTTTGCATTTGAAATTGTGCTGAACAGAGAAAGAGAAAGTGCTGTGACTACAGGCACTATACAACAGAGAAGGAATCGTGTGCAAAGCATTTGGAGGAAAGGAGTGCGTTCACACAGAGCAGGTGGGAGCGTGGGCGTGTGTGTCTACCTCCATCCTCTGTTGCCTCCGCCGGTTCCGGCTCTGCCTCTTCAGTGGGCTGCTCGGTTTTCTCCACCTCGCCTTCCTCTTTCTCCCCACCTTCCTTTTCTTCTTCCTCCTCCTCCTGTTTGGGTTCTCCTTCTGAAGAGGCGGTGATGATTTTTAAAGTGGGAGGCAGACAGCGATCAACCAAAGATGGATGGAACTGGATTATGTCTATGTCTACATTTTATCTCTTGGGAGAGATTTGTTCCTTTCCCAAAAAATGAACTTTTTTTTTCTATTTTTGTAAACTTGTCTCAACAGCTGATGAACTTGTCAGTTAGAATATCAATTAATTACAAGAATTGACAACAACACGCAGGTAGCTACAACAAACACTTGACCACTTTACATAATGGACAGGTGACGGGCACTGACCACAATAAACAAGTACACGTTGTTCCAGAGGACAGGTGGTGGCAGTGAACAGGTGGACTCTGTGAGCAGGTAGCCAAAATGAATGGCTGGTCAAACAGGTGGTAATAACGGGCCAAACTGGACAAAATAAACACCTGCCATTTACAGGTGGTGATAATACAGTTGTCATAACAGGTTGCCACAATGGACTGACTGGTGGCCACAGTGGCACAAAGGATCAGAATGAACAGGTGGGCCAAAATGGACGGGTTAACACAGGTGAACACAGTGGCACCGTACCTCGCCCTCAATGAAAAAAAAATACTGTACTTGATCCATGCTCTTTGTTTTCCAAGCAGTGACAGTTTAAAAATCTAAACTTCCGATGTGATGAAAAGAGCAGACACGTTAAAAAAAAAGCTCTGGTAGAAAATTGCAAACTTCATTGCTGCTAATTTTACATGCCCAAAACATGCAAGCGACAAGTCCATGCTTCATTCATACATGCACATATGCACATGCAACAGCCACACAAACCACGTCAATCTACATGTAAATCAACATTTGTAAAGTTGGCCTCACAATGAAACCAAATTTTACAAATGAAGTTCCATTTCAGTGGTCCCTCCAGTCACAATGTTCAATAATTACACACTCTGTGTATCATTAAAGCACCATTTCAAAATCTTATCGGGTGGGTGTCGGACAGAACGGTCCGACCGATACATTTATTATCGGTTGGCTATCAGGTGAAGTGTTCTCAAGTGGCCAACTCTAAGCGATAAATGCTTATGCATTGCATCACTCCCAAGGCTATGTGGTTTCAGCGGAGCAACACCCCCTCCATTGTTCACTCAACACAAGTCACTGTTATTATTTTCAATAAAATGGCCCTGTCCTATAGTCAACCAATAGGAATTTTAAAATGATGCCTAATTTTTCAAGGAAACCTTTTGAGGAAGTTTTCAACAAAACAGCATTTTTCCTAGCAGAGCAAAACGCCATGGACCTTTATTGGAAAGGACACAGGACTTCAGCAGCAGTCCAAATGTCATTCTTGTCCAAAATATCACTGATGTATTTAACATTTAAACATATATTGGTCCAAACAGTTCTTAGACGACGGCAAGAGAAAGAATAACCTAGCACATCTATGTCTTGAAGTTGAGCTGTGCAAAGTTTTCAATGAGAAATATTCAACCAGAACAAATGAGGTCAAATTTTGTGAAATCTTATTTGACAAAAGCAGGTCATGTGATCATACATCTACATCATTTACCTTCTTCTCCTTCTGCAGCTCCTTCTCCCGCCTCCTCAGCAAGCCTCTTTCTCTCTTCCTCCTCTTCCCGCCTCTTTTCCTCCAGTTCTCTCTCTGTCTGCAGTCTGTTCATTGACGATGCGAGAGTCAAGAGGGAGAAAATGAGTTATTTTCAAGACACAACACTGGATGTACTTAGTTCAAGCATTCTTCCATAATTTTTATCTTTCAGCTGAAACAAATGTTGGTATTTAATGGTGTCTGTGTCAAACAATGCTTTCAGAGACACAAAACTGGGAAAAACTCAGTCCTTATCCCAAATATGCCAATGACCACAAGTCTCTCTGTACCCCAGACCTCAGTTAGTACCGTAGTCAAGTTCATCGCAAGTCATTTCACAAGTCCAGGCGTGATGAGCCTTTTCACAAGTCACACATAGCAGGGTGAACAATGACAAAGGAATGCTTTTGTCACAGTTCCTTTCAGTGGATTGTGACTTGACCTGCGGCTGGATTTGCCCTCTGATGGATTCGTAGAGACTTGCAGGCACTTCTGCTGGATGCAACTCCAACATGGTCTCAGCATATATTTGTAGCACAACCACACGCATCAACATTCCAGGTTTGCTTTGTTCTGGTGACTTTTAAATCTGGACGAAGACAGTACATTTTTTGTGCTCATTCAGTTGAAAATGCACACCTCTACCACTGCATATACCAACGAGTACACATGCCCAAGACCGTGTCCCCTTTTACTTTCATTAGTGTCAGTAGGCCAGCATAATCCACACAACAGATGTCCCAAAAATCATACACCATCAATGTGCTCTTCCACGAGAAACATGATATGCAATTGTGGAACATTACAACAAGCTTAAAAATGGTACTACCTCTCCGAGTCCGTGCTCCTATGAATGGTAGGCATGCAAGAAACAACAGACAAGGTTTTAGGAGACTATATATCTCTAAACGATCAAGTTTTTTATTCACAGCCATAAACAAAGCAACTTCATAAACATGAAGCTGTGACTAATCTATACAGTAAAATACTACGCTAAAAACAGCAACATTAGACTATGGTCTTGAAATCCAAAATATCGAAAGAATCAACTGGAAGAGAGACAACTTACAGACGAAATGATTCTGAAAAACCAAGACAAGCTTCTGGAGACTGTGGCATCATCGAGCCAGTTAAGTGTGATATTTGGTGGTCATATTGCAAATGTGATAGTTGATGACTTGCTTTTTTGTGTTTGCTAACTGGGTAATTCCAGAAAGTAGGGGTCCATTTTTTGTGTGTCCCTGTCACATCTGACATGTGATTTTGTAAGTTCAGAACACATTTTATAACTTCCATGTGTGATGAATTAATGCAAATTACCTGCCAAACAAATTGCAACAGTTTGAAATGAATTTCGGTAATATTTCCTTGTCAAATAACAAAGGTCAGATGTAACAGGGACACGAAAATGTCACACTTTTGGACCCCTAATTGCTGGAATTACCCAACTACAAGATTCTGACTTGAGGAAAAGGGTGTGGTGACCCCATCTATGCCAGATGGGGAGAGTAGGAAGAGCGAGTAGTGATGATGAGATGGACACGCGAAGATGCCTCCTACCTCGCCTCCTCCAGGACCCGGGCCTTCTCTCTCTCCTCCTCGTCCTTGCGCTCCTGCACCTTCCGGTCCACCTCTTCCTTGTTCAGCTTGTACCACCTCTTCAGGAGGTAGGCGCCGTTCTCGCTGGCATCCTTCAGGAAGATGACCTCGTCCGGGGCCAGGCCACGGTCGATCAGGGCCGTCCAGTGCTCCCTTGTCTGGGGAAAGTTGTCCAGGACCCAACCACCAGCTCTGCATGAATAGACGACAGTTTCAATTGGGGGCTGCAGAAGCCACGTAAAGTTTTACGGGCCGACCTGATCAGCCAGGACAGTGGTCCAATCTGGTCCATGATGACTACATCACATAAACTCACTTATACAACACTGATAACTAGAACCCAAGTGGTATAATTGTGAATACAATTTATCCTTCACTACAGTAACATGGTATTTTCACTATCTGTGGAATGCATGTTGCAGTTCACACGAATGGTTTGTGGCTTGAGCAGAGACTAGGCTACCTGTATTGTGCGAGTCGTGTGAAGTAGTTGACTACATACAGTGCTTCATAAGACTTAATCAACTTTTAATGCCAGGAGTTATAAGGATTAACAAGGTTTTACTCAAAAGGAGTTAAAAAGAGATACTCAGAAGGAGTTACCCAAAAGGAGTTTCTTAAGAGTTCTTCAAAATGAGTGGCACATGAGGAATAATTACAAGGGATTACTCAAAAAAATTTTCATGGAATAACAAGGAGTTTCAGAGCGTTACTTACAAGGTACTCACATGAGTCCCTTAGGATCTAATGAATTCCTCACAATGAATGGCAAAAGAGTTCCAAGCTACTCACATGGGTCCTTTGGGATCCTTCCGCCTCAGTTCCTTGTGGATCTCAGTGACGGCCTCCTCCAGGGCATCTACGTACTGCTCAGGGGCCAGAGCGTAGGTCTGCTTCTCCGCTTCCTGGACGGCAGCTGCCACCATGGCCTGGACTTCTGGGTGAGTCTCGTCCACCTCGATTGCCGGCGGGGGAGGGGCAGTGACCGTTGTCGTGGCCTCAGTGAGGGCTTGGGAAGGGGCAGGCTCCGAGATGGTGGTTGAGTCTTTGACCGTGGATGTGTCGCCTGAGATCAAGATTTGTAAAGATTTTGAAAACACGCAATACTAAGTTCACTCACTCTTACAGTTTGTAATTCAGTCTGATGACCCAAAGTATAAACCACATTACATCAATTATCAGCATATTATAATGGACTCATACATAACCATTTTTAGGTCTGCAGAGTTCTTCTGGTTCCAAGTTACATTCTTTTCTATTCTTTGTTACTGCCCTTGGGTTCACAGATCCACGACACGACAAACCACGGCACAAGAAACCTTTCGAGTCATAAAAAATTAGGGACATATTGATCTGAGATGAAATCTGCCTTACCCTCATCTCCTTTCTTTTCTCCTTCACTTTGGGAAGGTTCTATGAGTATGAAATGAAGTGATATGAAAAAAGAGTGCCAGTGAATTAATCTGCAAAATCTGTGCATGGTGTGAATAAATATGTATGGTGAGTATTCACATCGAATGACTTTCCAAATTGATTACTTTGGTCTCAGCCGTTCTACTGTGATGAAAAATGGGGCATTTTGAATCAGAGGAATAATTTCTTCAATCAATTCTCTCTTACTGAAATTCCCAACAAAACTTAAGCCCAACAGAAATTCTTTTTGACAGTTTTCAGATTCAAAGAGAAAATCACTACTTTCAATAAAATGAATGTGCTTTACAGGTGTGTAAGCTTCTTGTTAAACAATCAGTGCAGAAATTCCATTTTTATGAAGATGAATTAGTTTAGGCTGAAAGGGAATATTGACATTAAGGTCCATTACAAAGAGTCTTTTACAGAAACTGTGGCAGAAATTCTGTCAGTCGTGTGTTTTTGATAAGAAGCCGGTAGCTCAGGTGAATATGGCCACATTACTGATTAAATTTCAAACCACAGAGGAAATTAAATTTTCAGGAAGGGATTAAGTATGGAAGTGACGTTCAGGAAATGTGTTTTTGGTTCCAAACATCATGATGATGAATAAGACAAACATTATATACTTTTCAAATTGTATTATGTATATCATTTTGAAAACAATCTGCATTACAGGATTCATGTCTCATGAGAAGTAACCTTTACTTCAGGTCTGTATTGAACAACTAACTATTTATCTACCACAGGTTAATTTTACAACACAGAAGGCAAACTGCAATTCAACAGAAAGTAAGTGGCATTAATATAAAGAGTGACATATTAACAAAAAAGTAAATAAAAATACAGATTGAAGAGATGCCAGAATCACACTGGACGGAGAGTGACAATTCGTGACACGAAAGACGAAAATTAATTTGAAACAATACACAAGGTATAAAAGTTGAGGGGGAAAATGCTGATATATAACAAAACCACAATAAAATGGACGGTTGGCATGTTGAAGACTGCATGATGAAATTGATGCGACTTTTGTGGGCAATGCTTATTTACCAAACGAATGATCAACAAAACGATATTAAAAACTTTGTGTATTTTCTCATTCTGACGGAGCCAACCATTATGTGCATGTTGCAAGTAAACTGACTAGCATATGGTGCAAAATTTGGGGTATATCATTAATTTCTCTTTACTACAAGAAAACACGTCAGGAAGGTATTAAAGTAGTGACGACCCTTTGACCTGTAAAATAAAAGATACAAAGTGCTCAAAACCACTGTTGATCACCATGGTGATGATGGAGGTGCAGAAAATCACAGCACAGCAAACAGAATTTAGAAGTGACAACAGTGGTCACAGCAACCAGACTGAAAGTGTTGACAGTGACGGTCTTTGTGTAGCATAGATGCTCCCTGGGTAGAGCCGACAGCTGTCTGATGAGGGCATGCCTAAGCCTGCTGGTCAAATGGCCACGTTATGTGAGAGACTGGAATGTGTGAGTGAGCCAACACTGGTGGATCTGAGCTTTAAATTTCAAGGAATTGGTCTTTAACCGAGTACACGAATGAACAATGTACACGGGGCATTAAATTCAGGAGTTTACTCTTGTGAGCCGTATCACACAGCATTCAGAGTGCATAGGGTTTAAATTAGGTTAGGCTTGCCGTTGCACCACGTACAAGGAAGAATCTCTTTGATGAGTGTGTGGTTCTGAGAAGAACTGATGATGAAAACTCGGTTCTTCTCAGAACCACACACTCATAAAAGAGATTCTGCCTTGTACATGGTGCAACCGCAAGCCTAACCTAATTTAGTACTTCCACCATGCATAGCTTCAAGTCTTATCAGTAAACAGGGTTTGCTAGGCAAAGCCAGGTTACCAACCAAAACTGCTTCTACGGTACACCATTTCTGACTCATTCTCTACAGAAAAATTGTCTGATAAATCGACAGGAAATTTACTTGACAAATTAGCTGTGCCACATACTTCTATAGCAAGATTGATGCCAAGTCAAGTTATTGGTTTCTTTTTCTCGTCGAATATTTTGATTTGGAGTGGGTAAATAGGAATTTTTTGTTAGATTTTGAAAAAGAAATTGGTCTTGGAAAAAATTTTTTAAAATTAACTCCATCCTTTTGGTCACCAAAGTCCCAAAGCTGAAGGAGGAAAAGGCCATATAGTGTGGTTAACTGAAGCTAAAGTCTGAGCATTCGATGACCACTGAGTTCAACAATAATAGTTCGGTGCATACGGTGGCAGACTGCCAAGGCACAAATATGCAAGAATTTCCTTTCATAAGGGGGGGTACGACCTATTTATTCACACCCCGATGAAAGGAAACTCTTGCATATTTGTGCCCCTGGCGGAGCGCTTTTCAAAGTGGGAGGGGGGGATAATTGTGAAACCACTAGGCATTAGACATTGACAAATCCAATGGGTCACGCCCCATTATAGGAGTTGCTTTGAGTGGGGGGCCATGCCCCAGTCAAAAATGCAGGGGGAGCCACTCCCCTTCTCGGCTTCTGTCGCCAGTGAGTACGTGCATGTGCTCAGATCCACCTGTGTCTCAACCAAAGAAAGTCCCACAAGTCCACAGCAAACCAAGCAACACACGGGGAGGGATAAGGTGGGATGGAGGGAAGGGAATCCACAGCAAACCAGGAAGGGTGATCAAAGTCCGACGATTTTTCTCTCTCTCTCTCTCTACCTTCGCTGTCCCCACCAGCCATCTCACGCTCCGTCTCTGTCCCCTCGCCCGAGTCCTCCTCCTTCTCCCCCTCGGGGAGAGTGGGTTGGTCCGATTCTGGCTCGGCCTTGTCAGCATCGGTGTCAGTGTCGGCCTTCTCCTTTTCTTCTGCGTAGGGGTGATTGGTTTACAAAGTTGGATGAAGGAAGGATGAGGAATTGGGGCAGTTATTATTAATAATCTGAAGTGATCACCGGTGGAATGTTAAGCCCCGAGGTGTTGATCCATCACGTTACCATTTAATGACCAAACGAACATCATAATTTCTTCTGTGATAGATCAAGGTTTACTAAAGGCAAAGTCACAGAAGGAGGTAAGTCCGTCCCCAGTGCATGTTGCTATTTAATGAACCTTGATGCACCAGTGAATATATACCGTACTTAGGGCTGGATATGACATTATTACATTCGACTGACTAAGGTTCCGAGGGACTACAAAATAATACTTAAGGCATTGGTAAATAGCGAGGCTTAGCAACATCTTATGGGGAAAAAAACTGGAGCGTGGACAGTTTAGGCACACATACACACACACACAAATGGCTTTTATGATTGCATATTAACTGATGTTCGCATAGGGTGTGCTAGTAAACCTCCCTAATATCATCACATGATCAGCCTGAATACAAGGCTAGGTATTCATGATCAGCTTGAGTACAAGGCTAGGTTTTCATGATCGGCTTGAGTACAAGGCTAGGTATTCATGATCAGCTTGAGTACAAGGCTAGGTATTCATGATCAGCTTGAATATAAGGCTAGGTATTCATGACCAGCTTGAGTACATGGCTGGGTTTTTCACGCTCACAAGAAGTTGTAAGAGCATTTTCACCGGTAAATTAAAGTTTGTTAATGAGCAGTTACTCTTTTGTGAGCGCAGATCCAGCACCCTGGAATTTAATTACACAGTTGAAGCACTGTCGGTCAGGATAACAACTACGTGCAGAGAGAAACTCAGTATATGCTCTTTCTATAGTTGAAATTTGAAGGGGCTTTAATGAAAGCCTTGGGCGTGAATGTGGGAATCACAGTTCATTGCACTAACCAAGTTGGCTCTACAGAGGTTACTTTTCAAATCACAGTCGATATCTTGTGTATATTATTCCACTCTGACTGGCAAGAGCATACAGGCGTTACAATATTGAGGCAACACCATAGTTACGGTTAGTATAATTCCCATTATGAGTTTAACCTTTGACCCATCTAACCATTCAAACAATGCAGCAGTACTTATTAGCAAAAAAACAGTGCATCAAAACAGGCATGTTAGAAATTAATGAAAACGAGAATGCATTTCAGATATCAAATCTTAATTTAAGCGTGTCCTTTGCAAATGACACCCTTTTAATTAAACAGAGGAATCCAGCACATTTCACTGGAAATTCCCGATGACCCTTAAAAATGTGGGAAGCGATGTGTTGGATCTTAAACGGACAGACTGTCATGAAACAGTGGCTCTGGGCAACACTTATTACAATGCTTACTGCAATAAATGGATTCGTTCAAAAAACAGGCTGACATCTCCAAAGAGTCTGGGCTAACGCGATGTAAAGTTAGGCAGGCTAAGACACAACCCAGCGCTAGTAATATTTTATATTTTCTTTGAAAAAGATTCAAGTTGTAGGTGTGGCCTCATTGCACTCTATGTTAACAAATTTGAACCCACTTATGTAGGGCATTTCAATATCATAAACAGCCATACACAGACTTGTGTCTACCTTTTCCTTGGCACTTAGAACACGTAGAATCACCAAATCATGCTCTTAAGTACAAGTTTAAACCAAATTCATTTGAATTTCATGCCCTAGGTATGTCAAAATGTAATGTATAGGTAGACAAGCACCGTATTCCGTTTGGGGAAGAAAATGCATCAATGGACCACCACAGTGGTAATGAGAGACGGTTTGCAGCGATGCAATTGATGCGGGGAGGAGGTTGTTGGCAACGATGACCTCAAAACACGAACTGCAAAAACATAGTCTGAGATGAACACAAGGGGCACAATGCGGTTGACTGCAATCATGTGTGGATACATTCACGTACATACATGTACATATAGAATTACTGATTACATTTATTACTGTTAAGTACTCTGGTGTAGTTCACTCCGCACTGTGTCAAAAATGTTAGACAGGTGAGGGTTTAGGATGGGGGCAGGACAGTGGAGATAAGTGGGAGGTGGGGGTGAGGTGGGGTTGGGGGTAGAGGGGATGTGAAGACAAGGGTGGGGTGAGAACAAGAATACGTTTGTGATTGTTTGTGGTGTAAAATGAGGGATAGGGGTGGGAACTGGGGTGGGGATAGGGGTGGGAATTAGGGTGGGGGTAAGGTGGCAGTTGGGGTAGATTGGGGTGGGGGCAGGGTGTCGGTTGGGGTGGGGTAGGTGTGGTGGTTGGGGAGGGAATGGGAGTAGTAGAGAGATACGGCTAGGAACAGATGCAGAGTGAGTGGAGTAAGGGTTTGAGGAAGGTGTGTAGTGGGGCATAAGCATGGTTTACACCAAGCGCTAAGCGTGTCTGAGTTTGTTGTGTTACATCAATGGGCGGGGTGCTGCGGAAAGCTTGAGGTCACATGACCCAATACCTTGTTCATCCATGTCATCCGCGTCGCCCTCTGAAGCAGCTGTTTCAATTTTTCAGGAAAAGTAACAATTTGGATATTCAATGAGAAACACAGACCTAACATAGCTCAAAAATGTGGAAATAAGTTCAAAAAAGGGTTGGAAGATTTTGAGACTTTCAAAATTGATCAAAACAAAGAATTAATAAAAGACTGTAACCCCGTTTGATCAACAAAACTGTGAAGAAATAGGTCAGCCCAGAATATATCCATACAAACTGATCTAGCCAGTTGAGCAAACAGAGTAAAGCCAACTTAATGAAAAAACATTTGCCTTTGGCAAAATATCTGCATTAACCTTGAGTGTATCCCAAAGCATAAACAAGAGCAGTGTTGCATCCTCTTCCCAATACGAATAGCTTTATTGGCATCAACCACTTACAGTCTCTATAATGTCATCAACAGTCTCCCGACCACAATTCGGCCAACGAGGCCACAGAGCCCATTTCAATTTTTCCATCATGAATTTCAATTTCTTTGAGGTGACTTACTCTCTTCCTTCTCCCGTAGCTTGGCCTTGACAGTGGCGATGGCCGACTCCAACGCCTCCAGCCGGTGTAGCTCCACCTGTTTGGCCTTGTGCACTGCCATGCGGGACTTGATCAGCTCATCCAGATCCAGCACCTGTATGCAAATATAAACAAATTTTATGCAGAAATATATGCAAAGTTATGCAAATGTATGTAGTTTTTATGCATATGTTGCTCTTTTATATGCATATGAAATTGACTCACTATTCTGTGCAAGCAAACCATGCTAATACCTACAATGTTATGCAAATTTGTGTAATAATTAGGCGTCACAACGCACACATGCCACAGAGTTTGAGCTTCAAAAGAACAAAAATGTAGTTTGCTCAAGCAAACGCATTGAGCAAAAGTTAATTCATATGCTTATAAGATGGGAACTGAAATTCGAAACTTGCCAAAGTGTTCATTTTTAAAGTGATTCAAGACACTAGGAACTTATTTACACTGAATATTAACATGGAATTAAAATTAATATGACTCATTACTATAAGAATAATGTTATTATCTATGTGAAGACAGTGACTATTTTTTAGGTTTTTGCAATAGATATCAATGTGTGACACGTTCAGAGCCCAATGGCTTTCTTGCCATGGCTGTTCACTGCACACTTACCCTGCCGTTGAACTTGTGTGCGAGCAAGTGACACATGGTGGACTTCCCAGAGAGGGGTGGACCCACCACACACAGCTTACAGGGTGGCCTGGGCTGAGGGCTGACCAGGTAGGGCCGGGGGTTCTTCAGGAACTTCTCCATGGCCTCCGGGCTGGACATGACATAGATCTTGTCCAGGAACCTGCCCAGGAGGGTGGAAAGAGTGCAATCCTTGCTTTAAGGACCTCACTTCTGTGTAACATATTTGTGTCCTCGGCTGTCAAACTTGGTAAGAATTTCACATCCAGCAAGGTTCTCTACAAAATTCAATCCTCAATCCTTCTGTAGCGTGTAAGAAAGACTTCCTATATAGGTAATTTTAGTCTGTGTCACTCTCTGCGAGAAGCTTCGAAATTTGAGTCAAACAAAATTGTTGGGTTGTCCTGAAGGTGAGAATCGCCAGAAAACGAGTTGTCACATGGATACTAGAGCATGCACAAATTGGGCACAGGCTGTTGGAATACCAAGCTGGCTCACTGCCAGAAGTTGAACTACAACCAAACTTGCCCCTACAAAGAGTTCAGACTCACCCTACTGCAAACTCGGGTTTGCCCGGTACCACGTTGCCTTTCTGGAGCTCCACGGGGCAGGCACGGGCCCAGCGGCTGCGGCGCCATCGATAGCGGGGCGCCACCATGTTGGTGCCGCCCAGCGTGCGCATCAGCTCCTCCGTCTCCACGTCCTCGGGGAGGTCCTCCTCGTCCGGGTTCTGCAGCCGGATAGGCACGGCCGCCCGGCGCAGCACAAAGGTGTTGAGCTTGGCCAGGAGCTCCTTGAAGAGGCCGGCGGCCGGCTTGTTGGCGTCCATCTCAATCAGGTACTGCTGGGGGTGGTCCGCAATGTAATCCTGCAGACGGAAGAGGAGGGGGCATTTACCACCTCTTCTGAGGTTTGTTTTAGTCCTTACAACCAAGACTTTGTTCAGTTGCTTCTCTAAACTACACATTTAGGGGAATTTGAGTACTACATCACGGTGTGTTACTCCAGCCAAACTTTCCCCCCAAAAATTTGCTGACAAGAAACAGCCAAACCAATTCTTAGCTTTGACCATCTAAATGCAGTCAAGATGTTGCTTGTTGAGTATGACCTCATTTACGGCCTCAGCTTGAAAAATGTAGATCACGGAAAGACTACTATGACCTTGTGACAACTCTGCCTGACAAACCTGACCTGTTTTGGTTTCTGGGAAGTTGCCAAATTCTAAAAGAGTCATATGAGCAGTGCACAGTAAACTGCCACAGTCATGCATATGTGGTGTGCATCTAGAAAAAGGGAGAGCTTTTTACAGAAAAAAAAGGATTTCACAAAAAAATTTCCACTTTTTTTTCCTCAACACCATTTTTGTAATACATGTTCATCATGCAAAGATTGCTGACAGAACAACTAACAAAACTGAATCCTTCGACAGCAATGTTCCTCACCTCCAGCATCCTGAGCATTTTGTCCTTGTAAGTCACGATGTTCTCCTGTGCGTGATGCACCATGTCTTCTGGTCTCCTCACCAGCCGCTCAATGACCTCAAAGCTCAGCTCCTCTCGGGGCTCATCCTCCCCCTGCATCAGATCAAAACCAGACTTACAAATCAACACACTGGGTGCTTGAAAGAGACTAGACAGCCATTTGATCTTGACTTCCATTACTTTCCTTCATTCGTTTCCTCTGGCACCCTATTTTTGGCCAATTATCCATGACTTACCAGGAAAACTTTTTCCCAGCATTTCCAAGATTTCCAATGACATTGGCAACCCTGCCATGGAGTTGCGTGTACCTTTCAGCCGCAGCCAAGTAATTTGCACAGTCTTATTGAGTTCTGTGACTCATCTTACCTCCTCCTCGCCCATCCCTTCCTCCGCCTCCTCTTCTTCCTCTTCCTCTTCTTCCTCCTCCCCTTCGCCCTCGTGGCTGGGCTTGGGCTCGGGCTTGTCCGGGTTCCAGACATCGCTGGTGTACAGGTTGTTGGTGATAGGGTCCACTCTCTGGCCCACCCGCCGATCTTCCAGGTCCTTGTCTGGCATCTGAGGGAAGCCAAATTATTTTGATATGAAAACATTTTGGATGTTAGAAATGTCAAAAGTGATATCAAGAAAAATACAGATGTCAAAAGTGTTGTCCCTTCAAAAGCTAATTACTTAAAGGTTTTAGGTATGAGCAATTGACATCAAAAGGGTCAAAAGCGTCATCCCCTGATGGGCTGATTTCTTTGAAGTGCTAGGCATAAGTATATGTCAAAAGCGTTAAAAAAGTCAGAAGTATTCTCCCCAGCTAAGCTAACTTCTTGAAGATTCTAGGCACAACAAACTGCTAAAAGCAGCAAAATGCTTGGCCAAAATTGGTTGCCAGCCAAAGAATTTGGTCTTTGTTGTACTCTGACAGGATTTTGACCTGGTGACCAGATTTCACTGGGTCCATTTTTAAAAAACAAATCCTGGTTTCAGAGCAACAAAGTCAAATTCTACAAATGATGACCACATCTTAGCATACTGACAATAATACACTGCTCTGAGAAACAAAGATGTGTAGCAAGAGCCCTGAGGAAGTTATTTCATGAAACTGAACTGTTCTTCCTCAGAAATCGTTCACCATAGAGGATAATTCCAAAATGACGGATTCCTTTTTACTGTCTTTCTTACCCGCAAGTTAATAATGAAGTCCGGTTTGAGATTCCAGTTCTTCACTAGCTCTAGCTGGTCCGTAACCTTCATGTAGTCCTCGCTCAAAGATGGAAAGCCATCCAATACATAACCTGTCAAGGAACAATCCAACCTCAATTGCCTTTTCTCCTACTAAAATTTTCATTAAACCGAAAAAAAAATTTCTCCATATTTGGGAGGGATGAAAAAATTGGATTTGCCCTCAGTCCTCTAAAATCCTCTAAAATTTCCTGGAAATGTTACTTGGAGGTGTGCCTACTGCCTCAATCCTTCAAAATCCTCCGATTTGGGAGGGGTGAAAAAATTGGATTCGTCCTCAGTCCTCTAAAATCCTCCAAAATTTCCTGGAAATGTTACTTGGAGGTGTGCCTACTGCCTCAATCCTTCAAAATCAAAAGATTTTGTTATAAGTAATTTAGAGGAGCCAAAAACATGCCAAACAATAAGACAGAACATTAATTTTCCTTGATGGTTTTTCCTTTTTTAACTTTTTGTAAAAACTGCCTATTGTGCTTCGGCTTTTGTGGGAATTTGGTACAAACGAACATTCAACAGAATGGAAGGCTAAATATTCAAATATTTTAGGATTTGAATTGGCCTTACATCCTTGGCATGAATGCTAGGGAGTTCTGAGGAAAAAAAATCAGCGACTCACCGTGATGCACCACCTCAGGCGAGTTGATCTTCTCCTCAATCAGCCGTGCTGCCATCTCCTCGGGCACAGCGCCACCGCGCTGCAGGATCTCCTGCAGGCGCTGGCCCAATTCTGTCTGCAGGTCCAGGTGCTGGAGGATGAGGTCGGTGGCGTGGACCAGCTCACAGCGCCAAAACTGGGACAGGCGGCGGGCCAGGGCCGTCTTGCCAGCACCCGGCTTGCCCAGGACGATGAAGCATGTGGGCTTGGAGTGCAGGAAGCGTAGCTCCGCCTGACGAGTTTCAAAGAAAAAACAAATTTCAGACGAGGATTGTCTTAACACTTTCCTTACCACTTCTTACTCTTATCCTCCTGATACTTTCCGGGAGCCTTAACAAGTACAAAGAATAATGTCTCATGCAAGTTTTGACAATGGCTTGACAACATTTGGACATACCTTTCGTGGAAAAAATTACGGTCGAAAGATCTTGACCTTTTATTGACTGTTGAAACTACAAAAAAATCCTGATTGATATGTGGCTCTGAAATGACAACCAATAACTTCAAAACCCTCTGTCTACCTGCAATGACACTTTGTCACTGCACACCACTTGGATGGCTCCTAGTCAAAGTTAAGTTCCCAACAAACATAGATCTGTTATTGAGAGGCAGATATTATCAATAATTTTCTAGTGAAGATGATAAGGCGGAGTTTTGAAACAGTTTCATGTCCTTGCCCAGCAGTTTCTCCCATCAGCATTTTCTTTTTGAAATCCTATTTGGCTCAACTTTACACTAAGTGTTGTTGGTTGAATTTTGAGTTCAATGAGTGATAGCCCTTTAAAAAAAAAAAAAAACAGAAAAAAAGAAAACGCAATCTGTTTATAGGGTATGTGGCCCAAACTAATGACATTATACATGTATTTTCGTTGAGCCTGAAATACCTGATCCTCGTCAAATGGGTCGGCGTCCAGGGGTTGCAACAGTTCAGTCAACGACTCAGCTGCTTCGATGTCACTCATGCTGGTCACGCTGATAATTTGCTTCTCAATGGTGTTCTCCACTACAGGGGCTGCTGCCGTCATCCCCCCACCGGGGGTGACCGACTGGAAGGCGGCCATTGTGTTGGGCCTGGTCTCGGCCAGGTCTATCGTGACACTGGGCGTTGCCGCTTCAAAGTTTGCATCTTCCTACAGCAAAGTAATCCAAATCAATACAAAACACAGGTCCCTTTTCCCACTCACTTCATGAAATTTGTGCACGTAGAATAAACAGAGCAATAGGTATAGATCTGTGCACTGATTGCAACTTGTTTTTTTTTTCTACTGTTGATCCAGTATTTTCAGCATCTCAAGTCGGTGTTTTCAGCATTGTGGTTACAGTAGAAATAGGTACCCAGCCAATCCGTAACAAGTGGTTCTGGGTCTTGACTTCCTTTGTTTTACTAAAAATCTTTGACACTAACAAAATGAAACAAAACCAAAGACACAAAAGCAGGCAGCTGATATTTAAATCAGGAACGAAAATGAAATATCCTGCTACTGAGGCCTAGTACTGGATTTAAACAATCAAAGCTATAAAAATTTTAGCAAGGAAAGACTTCCATATATTATGAGCAAAAGTTGATGCCCCTGTGCACAAACCTATGTGGTTTGCTTTCTAAGTAAATGCTTCGGAACTGTGTCTTAGCTAAATTTCACTTTTTTAGGACATGTTATAACTTTCTGATGGCTGAATGTATAACATTTTAAGGGAATATTAGTGTTGTCTGTGTAGGGCCTATGAAACTGTTTCTTTACACACACATGGGCTGGCAGTCATGGCAGTGAGCAGTTTAGGCCTGGTGCTGTGTTTGCATAATGTGAGGTCACGGTTTAGGGGTCACAAACTTGATGATTCGAGCTGTCAACATCAACGAGCACGAATGTATGAAGTTCAAAAATTAAGCCTAACTAGCTGGAAATTTCTCGAAAAGTAGGCCTAGGATTACGTAGTGAAGGATTGATTTAGAAGTGGAGAGGGTATGGCATAGGCCCTCATCAAGCAACTCCAATCGTGACAATGCTTTCATTTCAAAGCACTTGAAAAAGTCAACAAAAATTCGGTGGACCTATAGGCCTATGGGCATGTGGCTATAGGGGAGCGCAGCGTACCGTGGGCCACATTAACAGATTAATGGGGCTATGATCATGATGATTTAACATGGAAAATCTGGATTAGGATAAGGGCCTAGGCCTAGATCGAGGCCCAAAGACTCGCTCTTGATTGGACCAATCCCTGCATGCATCCTACAATTATCCGAAATACAACGTGTTGTAAGACTGTTCTAAACATAAATATCTTTATTGACAGCTGAGAAGAATGTTTAGGCCTAGGCCTAAACACTCTTCTCAGCTGTCAATAAGGCTATTTATGCGAACTCGAATTTTTATCCAACCTACCTCGTTCTCCGCCATGTTGTTTGATCACCATGGCGATCCCGCAATGTAACGCGATGTTTGACGAGATTTGCTTGTTGTGTCAGACCTACCAATAGAGGGCGCTACTCACAGGTCTATCATCTCAGAGCCGTGTATACGGCTCCAGTTTTGGCTAGTCAATCAATGGGTGCACCCACGCAAATAGGCCAGAAATATAACCGCCGAGCTCATACACACCAAAAAAATACATGAGAGTCCCGAGAGGCATGGAATTTGGAAATTGAAGAAATATGGCACTGAACTTCTGGCCCGGACTCAGGGCTTCCAATTCTTAGCAATTTGGATGCAATCGGGTCCAAAAGTGGCACTATTTAGCGCGTTTTCAGAGCGATGCATTTTCAAAATGGCTGCTTTTCAGGGCAGTGAGATTTCCTTCATTTTAGGGGTGGTCTCCTTTGGGTGAGAATTTCTCAAAAATTCATCGGTCAACCAACTAAAAATTGAAAGAAAAAGGCAAGAGGACAAATCAAACATCATCATTTTTTTGTCCAGCCTGGACACTTGTGAGAGTTGTATTTTTAAACCCAACTTTGTAATGTCACGATTTATCATTGGTGTCGACACGTGTCTATGGGAATTTATTTTTAGGGTGCACCACTATGAATCCTTTATCCCGATCACGTAGCTTTCCGGAGCTCCCTTTTGCCTGCATTTACATGTTGGGCCTAGGTACGCTCATTTTTCCGGGGCATCATGGTCGGCCCCAGTCGGGCCCCCTGAATCCGCCCTTGCATGTCCAACAAAAAGACACCCCTTTACTTAGACCCAGTCCCTTGCATAGTTTGCGTTTTAGACGCTAAATCTACGCGTGTGGTGAGACGAAGAAGGAATTAACAGTAAACAGTTGACAGAGTAAGACTCGTTCTTTATACAAGAGGAATGAGAACGTTGCTGTGTTTATTCTATATAGTGTGCAAAAAAAATGTACAACTATAAAACATTCGTAAGCTCTTGATTTGTGTTACTGAATCATACAAAAATTGACCGATCGGAGTTTGTACACTATTTGCAAAAAAACTCAACAATCAGACAGCATTTTGTAATTTGGAACTTTTAGGGATGTTGACCCTCGGAATGTACATAACACAAAAGTGTTTTCCCATGTGAGGATTACCATAGGAACCAATGACAGAAAGATAGGGTCACAAGTTCATACAAAATAAGAGTCCAAATTTTGGTATTTTTATACAAGCCTGAGCAAGGTCTATAGTCTTGGTGCAAGACGCTACTTGTAATGGGCCGCAGGGCATCGTCGAAGAAAAGTAGCCTATTGTAGAACACGAAGTGCTGTCATTCGGCGACGAGTATAATACAAACAGCAGCGTCTTGCTTCAAGACCATGAAAGGTCTGGTTTCAAATTATGAATTGAGATGTTTGCAGTGGTTTATCCATAATCGAATAAACAAGTACCCTGACAGTACCGGTCCGATGGAGAAATTAAGCAGAAACGAAGATCAAAGTTACTCCTGACCTTTCAACCAGCAGAGGGATCTGCGACCACGCTCTTTCTCGCACACTCAAGCAAAATATCGCAAAGTCTCTCATTTCACGGGCAACTTGCGTTGATTTGAGTATGAAATCTTAAAAATAAAAGTAACCTTCTACTTTTTGCCTCAATAATAGTAAAGGAACTAGTCAGAATACACTGTGTTAGTCTCTGCAATGGGGGTCCAATTAGAGGTGCAAAACATATTTCAAACGTAAAGAGAAATTTTTCCTTTCAGTGTGCTATCCTTAAAATTCCTCTCCGAAAATAAGTTCATTTCAGCCCAAAACTCGGTGATAACAATTATATGGCACATCGTACTCGAACCCAGAAATCAGCTGCGAAATTCAACTCTCCATTCTCTATTTTGAACAACAGAAGGAAGGTTTCCCAATGTCTTGGCCGTCCCTGGTGCTAACACAGGCGTCCATGGGAAGTGTCAGCAACCACTTATCGTTCATATAGTACAGATTATCAGAGATGATGCGGACGCGGGATACATGCTTGAAGTAATCTGCCAAAACCTTCACACTGTGATCTTTGTCATTTGGGTGTATGAACTCAATTATGGACATCCTCTTGAATCCAGGTTGTCTAGAATCACGAATTAAACAGTTTTGAAAACAGGACTATTTCCAGATCAATTTGAAGTTGATATGCACCGAAATGACAAAGCTCACCATTTGACGGGCTTTTCGCAAATCACATCACATATCCGGCTTGGTAAAAAAAAAATAGGGCTTGGGTGATTATTTAACCGATGTGTGCAGATGTTTCAGAAACCAATGTATGTATAGACGAACATATTGATCATTAATGTGAGATGCACATTGCTAATACAGTATAACATAACATAACCACACGAAGCTGTGATTAAACCACGAGCCGCATGCGTATCCCGATTGTAATGGACTCTACTGCCACTGGCGCATGTGTTAAATGCTCGCCGTAGTCGAGAATTTGGGACAGTCTTACTTGAAGCCAGCACGCTGATTCCAGTTCACTCCCAATTCATGCTTCAAAATAAACGCAAAATTAAGGGGAGCGATTCTTTGCCTGGTTGCCAAAAAGGTAACAAGACCCAACAAATTCTAGCTGGGCACCAATGATTACTCGCTCGAGCGCTCATAGCCATCGCCCTACCGAGAAGGTAACATCGAACGACTTCGAACGGTATGACGTGATTTCTTTCAGCCCTCATTTGATACAATTTGTTCCAACAATGACGCGGTTCACCACTTCCGTGTGCTTATGACACGTGCGCCATGGATTTGCATGTATTGATTATGGCAGTAAACTATCCACAATGCTTTGCGATGCCCATGCTTCCTTTCGAATTTTTTTGAGGCGATTAAACCTGACTCTCATCACCGTGGATGGTTGGGGCATTGGGTGAAAGCAAACGGAATGACTGGCTATGAGCAGAGCTGATTTGGTTAATGCATAATTATGTTTATCGTTAATACATGATTGTAATGTACATTTCTACAGTTATTGACATTATTTTGTGTGAAATGAACATCAAAACTCATTTTTCAAAACCGCGAGTTACTGCCGTGACTGCTCCGTTGGTGCGCTGCGTTTTCTCATGACAGCCGTGTGGTGTGAGCGGCTCAGTTTGCATGCCCATGTCGCGAAGGCAGAAATCAAAGAATTTCAGTCCCACTGCCAGAGGCGAAAATCTATTTGGGGGACTAGATTTGAAGGAAAACACAACACAAAAACATCCCGGGATACAGAGGTACATCTTGTGTCATAATTACATCCAAACGCCGTCTAAAAGCGCTGGTAATTTTTTTCTCCCAGTTTCAGTACCACTGAATACATGTTGGTCGTTGTGAAGTTTGAAAACACCTCAAAAGGCGACTTTTCCCCATTCATCACGAAAGTGTCAGGGTGTGTGTGGGTGAGTTTGTTTCTGCATTCAATTGGGGGCCCTGAACAAT